AGTTGATACCTCTACAGTTAATTTGTTGCAGAAGTTCCTGTCTTCAGTATTTTGGAGCACACAGATGGAAAGAGAGCTTCAACCATTTCTCATTGCATTGTCTATCAAGATCAACAATGACTGTCATCTTATTCTTTCTTGTTGCTCACCCTGCTGATTTCTGGGGGGTTTGGATGAGGGGAATAACATGGTCATGAGATAAGTTGATTTTTTTGTGTCTCTAAAGCTGTTTCCTTTTTGATGTGACCTTTATTTTTGAATAATTATTCTGCTAAAGTACCCTGTAACAATCCACTTTGAGTTTTCTGGCAGAACCTGTCAGATTGTTCTTGAAAATGTCCTGGCATTTGCACGATGCCATACCATCCCTAACATTAGTGGGTCTTTTGGAAGAGAAAGGGGCCTACAACATGCCACATGTGCTACAATGCATATCAGGGGGCCAATATATTAATCTTTTGTTCCTTACCAGACCTGCCTTGAGTTTTTGTTATGAAAAACTCAATCTTAGCTACATTTAAAGAGTTCTAGGTGCAGTCTCAGTAGCATTTAGTAAACCTTCCCTGCCATGCTTCTGAAACAACCGCTTGGTAGGTAGCATCCAACAGAAGGAACTGAGGAACTCAAGAAGCTGATTTATACTGCAGTTTGTACTGCAGACATGTATGCCACTACGGATTTTTGACATAAATTATGTCCTTCCTTCTAAGACCGGTCTTTTGCCTGCGAAATTTACCTACAAAGACCAGAGAGCGGTCCTGCTTTAGGTGAAATGCCTCGTTTTTTTTTTCAAGTACATCATATCACCCCACAGATAAAAGGTTTGCTGTTGGTCAATGTGAATGTAAGATAATCAATCGGACGTCCCTGTATCCCAGAAACCTTTATCCTCTAAAGTGGTACAACTGTCAATGTCTCCAGGATGACTTAACGAGTCCAGTTCATTAAAAAGTGAACGATTGGAGCCCTCCCTCCCAAACCTGTGAACACAGAGAGCAGGCTGTGGATGGGATAAGCGGTGGCTTATTTCCCGTTGACAGCTGTCAGCTCATCAGCCTCCCACTCCCTCTTCAGACATGCAGTCATTAACCCATCGACTCTCTGTTAGGATGAATTAAGAAAGTTAAGACTTCCACTGGGGGCTGTTTCAGTGAAGCATTTACATGGCAGGTAAACAGGGTATCTTCGCAGCTTATCTGTTTCTATGGTAACCATTTAGACCCAAGAGGGTAAATGTGACAGACATAACCTCTATGTTGAATTTCGATATAGGCTTTTTTCACTTTTTAATTCCTCGGTGGTTTACTATTATATTTGAAGTTTCCTTTGCAGTGCAGCAGTATATAATCTGTTTTAAAATCTGCTTTGGTGTCTATAAATATGTGTTTGTCTGGTCTTCTTTATGTTTGAGCAGATCTTTGGGTCATTTGCAGCTCCTTGTTTTCCACATAAACTTGATTTGAAATCAGGACAGATGTGTTGAGGACTAATATATCTCCTTATATGGGATGCGTTTTGTAACAGCCTTCTAAAGGCTGTTTTGTTTGTTTATAACAGACTGTGGGTGTTAAAATCAACCATTGTGTTTCTTTGCCCTTGCTAAAGGTTTCTTCTAAATTTGCAATGAAATCATAATCAGGGGCTTTAATGCATCCCTAAGATGAGCCCTTCACAATATCCTCCTTGTGGTAAATCTCACATTATAAAATAAACAATTTGAAACAGAGATGCATACAAATGAAACATGTTGCTGATATTTCCTTTAAAAGAACTCTTTTGAAGAGTGTAGTATGGTGTTGAGTAAGTCCTTGTGTTCACTGTTTGTCTTGTTTTGCATGCATCATTGTCTGCTGGCTGTGTTCCCTGAGTTAGGGAGGTTGTCAGGGAGTTTAGTCTGATTTCTGCTTTCCTCATGAGAAAATAATGTTCCCTGGATGTGCTGCACATGGAGGCTGCTGGTGCATTTTAATAAATGAAGTTGCTTGTATTCTGTGGATCTTTTTGATATTTGCACTCATGTTTATCTTCTGTTTTATAGCACTTTAAGGATGCACATAAGCTAATTCCACTGGTTGCTTTAGACATTTAAGGAGATGTTCAGTGTTGACTTATTTCGCTGAATAATTCCACCATGCCTTTGTAAAAATGGCTGCATTATTAGGCAAGGGGAAGCAAACCATTGCATATGAGGCTAACCTAACAGATATATTACCCTCATTTATTGGCTAAGGCAGCCCTAACCATTGTAATTCACAAAGTAAACACACCCAGCCTCCCTCCAGCTTTATATCTGTTTATAAGGTTGTAATTATTGCTTGGCTTCACTTCTAAATGCAGTGTTCTCTCCTACATTTCAATTAAGTAAATCTTCTCAGTATAGATTATATTTTTGGCTTACTTTGTGGGCTTATATTCTTCATTTACCTAAAACATGTGACCAAAGGATTAAAGTGCATAAATCTGTAAAAGCAGTAACCTGACTCATTGTTTTGGCATGAATGCTGTCATTACAATTTAAAGCTGAGCTGTAATTTAAAACCCCCTTATTTTAACTCATCTACCTTCCGTATTTTTAGATACATTTTCTGTACCTTTTTAGGTCTTGCAACATTTAAATCACTTGAATCATCTATAGTCCTGAAGAAAACTATTTGATGATCCTCATTCTATTCAATTGCTGTTGTTGTTGTTGTTTTAAAGGGCTATTAACTGAAGAATTGAATAATTAAAAAAGAGAATATTTTGGTTTAAAGGTTGATCATTTTCTACCTCAAAATCTATTGTTTTTTCGTTGGTTCATTCAATTTGGAATCTCTTTTTTTCCTAATTTTTTCCAGTCTCATGTTCTCTTTGTGCTGATCAATCAAATGTAAATATTCAGACTTACAGATGCACATCTTCGATACTTATGTGGAAAAACAGTATTTGTCTTTAGCTTTTTAGTTTCAGTCATCAAAATTGAGCACATTTATCATTTGATGGTTTTGGTTTGGCACACAGCAACAACATTTTCACTTTAATTTACAAATTGCAAAAGGGCAACTTTTTTTTTTTTTTTTTTTTTTTTTTTTTTTAAGTTTAATACACGTAATACAGTAAAATAACAATACAATATGCATGCTTGGTTTTGTTTTTTGTTTTTAAAGAGTCCAAAATATGTAGATGTCCTATTGTTGCTTTTTAGATTAAAGATTTTATGATAATTGTAGTGTGGAAGTCAGTCTTTCATTTTTATAAAATTAATAAACTTTATTAGATTCTGAACACAGATATCATTAGCGAAAAAAATGTAACTGAAAATAAGGAAATTTGATGCTAATACGGAGTTCCTTTTAACTAGTTTGGTAGCAATCAAAGCACAATTAGTAATAAGAATGAGCACTGTTAGCTTCCAGGTATTTAGCATTGGGAGGTTACAGTAATTAATGAAGCATACTAAGATGAGAATGTGTTTGGGAGTTTCTAAATGAAGAGAAACTGCTATATTCCCTGTCTAAAAACTTAAAGGTATAGTGGGGGATTTTCGCAAATTTTTGAAAAGACCTGCCTCCTCCACTTAAAAAAAAAAATAATAAAAATAAATAAACAGCCCTGTACCTGCTGCAGAGAGAAAACTCCTATTAAACGTGTGCGAGATCATGCACAAGTCCATTTCTCCTCATGAACGCTCTATTTAAAAGTTGCTGTTTGCATCCCTCATTCAAGCTTACTTTCCAAAAGAAGATTTCCAATTTTTCCATTATGTCAGACTCACCATCGGTGAAGTAAACATATCACAAGAATGATTGACAATAAGGAGGACACCTTATTTTGATGATCCATCTGGAAAAAGAACATCCTCCACTATACCTTTAATAAATACCACAAGTTATCCACATATTTCTTGGTGTTCTGTACGATTCAGTTTTGCTCCATTTATGTTAAAGTTATTGAAAACTGCGACCAAGTTTTGATGTTTTTTATTTTCCAAACTTTGACATTTCTAGCTCGGAGCCTTTTTGTTTCTCCCAGCTGCCATGCTCCTGGAATGAATTGGGGTTTTAGTTCAGGCTGACTCAGAAGTCATTAGTGTGGTTACACTTTCCTATCTCCATGGTTCATGACCTGCAGCTTACAATGAGTGGACCATATAAACCCTTTGGTGCTCACTCAGTCTGCAAAAAACAATGCTGAGCTTTGCATCCGCTGCTGCAGAATTAAATTCCCTTTATCTGCTGCCTAGACTCCTTAAGTAATAGTCTGATGCACATTTTGTTTTACACATATAAGTGTTTAATATAAAAGAGAAACCAACTTCCTCAATTTCTCTAAAGTGACCTTGTTGAGTTGTAAGCAAAGCTTTAGAACAGCTATTTACTGATCCATGTATTATCTTGAGTTGTTTTTAAAAAATCATGTACAGCAATATTTTTGTCTAAACATTACAACAAACTGATATATTGGAAATAAATCCTAATGGTTTTATCAGTGTTTGCAACATTACGTTTTCAGAGAACCCCTTGGATGTAATATGTGTTAGAATATAAACTTATGTGCATGGTGTGCACATTTGTCATGTCAATAATGTATTTGGTCTTTTTAATAGACTTCCTCTGAGCGCAGTGATCACACTAGAGTTATATCAAGAGCCATCAGGATGTTGTTATGAAAGGTTATAACTGTAAAGTGTCTGCTATAAAAGACATTTATAGGTGGTGAATGTTGCATTTGATCACACAAACTGCTTCTTGCAAGCTTGTAATTGTTGCTCGTACTTCTCTGACATCTATCCACCCACTTTGATTTTATTTTTGTTAGCCTTTTATGTCTACAGGTTAGCGGATGCTCAATTCCATCTTCCCATTGAATTGTGTGAGAGGATGTTTTCTGTAGCTTCTTTGATTTGGTTTAGTTTCATCCACCTAACTGAAATATAAAAATAAAGAAACACAATTATGACTAATCCAGTTTAATTCCCTTCAGTTTGATATGGATTTGAACAATTTTGTGTCTCTTTTTAGGTGCGTCGGGGGAGTCTGGTGTTGACCATGTGTTTCCAGTAAGGTCTCCTCTTTTGCCAACATGAGGCTGACGTCCGGATCGCCTCGACCCGTCCTGCCAGCCTTTCTGGCTCTCACCTTAGCCGCCTTTTTACCTCAGCTGTCCTCAGGAGCTGCACCATTTCCCCAAGACCTAGAACCAATCAGCATTGTGGGCAGAGAAAGTAAGTTGAAAATAAGCTGTGTTGCCATGGTGAACATTGTTGAGGGAGTAATTGTGAAGCAAGCGGAGGGTCCCCAAGGGATTATACATCATCAGCAGGAGGCATTTCTTAGTGAAATGTGTTTAAGGCTGTTTGTTGAAAGTACATTTGTGGAGTTTAGTCATCCTTCTTTAAAATATTTTAAAGAGTTGTTTCCTTTTTAATATTAAAATCATTGCAGTGTTAAAATAATAATAATATAATCAGAATCTGACCACAAACTCTGTTTTCAAACCAGTGCAGTTAAAACACCCTACACTAAATATGAAATGAAATAGCTTTTCGGTTAAAACGGTTTGCATCTATGCAGGGTTTTTTTTAAATTTGCATCACAACTTTCCTCTGCTGTTCCTTCTGGTTGATAAACTTGAAGTGTTTCATTTTTTCTGTGTTTTTTTTACAAGGTTGTGGACAACAAGCCAAATTATGAGTCATTGTAAGATGTTTCTCCAAAACATGTGCTCATTACCTCCTAATAAGAACTGACTTTTAGCTCATTGGTTTATGCAGAAAATCTATTTTTTTTTTTACAACATTTTACTATAATTTTAAATAATGTTTTTACAAAATAATTGTTTTTAGATAAGACCAACTTAGTTTTAATTGCTTTAAGCATTTTTTCATTATTAAATCAACGCACACCCTAACTTAAAGAAAAGGTTTATGGTTTTGCATCAGGACTCTGCAGTGTTTTTTCTTTTGTTACATGTTCCTCTTTCCATTATTGCCATTAGGATTAACCTTTGTGTGAATCTTCATCCTTCCATTTGCTGAGGCACCTGAATTTACCTACTGAGGAACAATGAAGGATATTTGTTTTCTATGATGTGAATGATAAAAAATACTATTACTGTAACTGTAATAAAATGATAAGAGTAATACATGAATTCACAAATAATGATTGAAATAATAATCAATCTTCAAGCAGAATATTTGAACATTGCATGAAACTTGGTTTGAATTCTGCCAGTTGCCAGAAGCTGATAAAAATCTATAACTAAGTACCGCTATGAAATAAAAATTTAAGAAAAAGGTTTTACTGCGCACTTTGACACGGACACACTGTCTTTAACATAATGTCAAGAGACTTATCTGTAGCATCCTGTCTTTGAAGAGGTCTACAGAAGGGGACTTGGCTACCAACATTATGGCCCATAATTGATTTAAGAGGTGCCAGAGACGATAGCTCTCATGCTGTAATTGATCTATCTGGAAAAGAGGAACGCAACCATTAGCAGAAATAGCTGCACTAATAGTACTATATGTGGAGCTCCGTCCTAGGTGTAATGAGAGCAATTTGTCACCTCTGGTTCAAGCAGGTGACACGAGGGGACAAGGTCTCTCACAACTTTGACATGTCCATTATGAATCGTAGTACTTTGTCTGAATGAAGTCTATGAAATTAAACTGAGATGACTTCTCCTTGTGAGAAATGGGAAGAAACTGTGTTTGCATCGTAAACTTATTTGTGTCACATTGGATGGACTGTAAAGTCAGTAAAACATCTAAACGCCGATGTCTAGCTTACTATTAAGTTAGATTATTTATCTAAATCTTCCTTGATAAAAGTCAAAGCTGTGTTTTTGGTAATTTGTTTCTTAGCTTGATTCTAGCTCTTAGTGCTACCAGCTTTATGACTGATCAAAGGGCAAGCAGTAAAAAAAAAAGACTGTATCTAATGGCTCTTCTTTTATGTGGTCCTTTCCATCAAACATCCTCCAAGCAAGTTGGGAGAACACATTATGTTCCAGCTCATCTAGTTTGCATTGCCTAAAAACAGCTTACAGCTTTGAAACAGTGAACTAATTCTATACAGTGGTTGAAAGCACAGGGCGTACCGTTTAATCGTTTCCTTTGCATAGGCAGCATTCTGTGTAAACCAGAATATTAACTGAACACCTCTGCAACTTTCTTTATTTGCAAGATCAGAGATGAAATACGACTCAGGAAATGTAGTGTCCAAAACACTTCAAATATTGTATGTGTTAAGAGTCTATCAGTACTACACAACAGAGTTTTATTTTACTCCTGTTCACTCACAAATATGCAGTAAATTGCAGTAATGAAAGTAAAATT